CATCTTATCCCTGTCAGAATGGCCAGTATTAAAAAGTCAAAAAAAACAATAGATGTTGGTGCAGATGCAGTAAAAAGGAAACGCTTGTTCACTGTTGGTGAGCATGTAAATTTGTACAACCTCTATGAGACACAGTATGGAGATTCCTCAAAGAACTAAGAGTAGACCTACCATTCGATCCAGCAATCAATCCCACTACTAGGGATCTACCCAAAGGAAAAGAAATCTTCATATCAAAAAGACACATGCACTCACACATTTATCACAGCACCATTCAAATTGCAAAGATATGGAATCAACCTAAGTGCACATCAACTGATGAGAGGAAAAAGAAAATGTTATGCCATGGAATACTACTCAGCCATAAAAAAATGAAGTAATGTCTTTTGCAATAACTTAGATGGAACTGGAAATCATTATCCTAAGTGAATTATCTCAAAAATAGGAAAACAAATATCACATGTACTCACCTATAAGTGGGAGTTGAATGATGGGTATACATGGTCATACAAAGTGCTATAATGGACTTTGGAAACTCAGAAGTGGGGAAGGCGGGTGTAGGGTGAGGGACCAAAATTCCTAATCATGTACAATGCATCCTATTCAGGTAACAGGTACACTAAAAGCTTTGACTTCACCACTATTTGATACATAATACAATTCATCCATGTATCAAAAACCCATTTGTACCCCCTAAATCTATTGAAATTTTTTAAAAATTTATGCAATTTTTTAAAAAATGGTTGAAATAGTAAATTTTATGTTATGTTTATTTTACCACAACTTTTTCAACTACCACAAATCAATAAGAAAAAGATACATGTCCAAAGAAAAATGGGCAAAAGACATATTAGCATTTCACAAAAGAAGAACTTTCATAGCCAGTAGGCATATGAAAAGTGTTCAAATTCATTTGGTTTTAGGAAAATGCAAATTGAAAATATGACAATAACCTTCACACAACAGAATGGCAAAATTTGAATTATCTCAAAATAGCAAGTATAGGAAAGGATGAAAAAGTAATAGGAACTCTTGTACACTGCCAATAGGAGCATGAAATTGGAATTATTTTGGAAGAGAATTTTGCCTTCCTTAGTAAAGGTGAAGGACAGCATATCCAATAACACCTAGGAGAAATGAATGAATGTATGCACCAGGATACATGTACAGAAATGTTTCTAGAAGCACTGCTAATAACAGCGAAAGTAGAAACAACCAAATATCCAGAACAGTAAACTTGAAAAAATATATCATATAGTGATACAATGTGGAATGGAATACTAGATAGCAATCTAGTTCCTAAACTTCCTAAAGTTAAAGAACAGTGACAAGAAATCTCTAATAAGCTCCACCAGGAACAAAAAAGGAGATAGCACAACTGATCCCAAAGAGATACAAGATATAATTTATGAGTACTACAAAAATCTTTATCAACCCATTTCTCTCTGTTTAGAAATAACCTGTATGAATGACAATGTGTGTATATCTGACAAATATCTGCTTTTGCCATCACTGATGCCTCACTAAAGATTCTAATTCAATCTTTTAGGAAAGAAATATAAGGAACTTTTGGTTTTGGTCAAGATAATCCGGATGGAAAGAATACTGTGTTCTGCTAGTATCAAAGATATAAATACTAGAATTTATACCAACTTCTTAATAGCCAGACTCTAGGATAATTTTTAAAAATTAGAATAATTTCACAATATGAAAGAAGAAAAACAAACAATATACACTCCGATATCTTTCATATAAATTATCATGGGCAAAGCTAAACTATGAAGTATTATACATAGGTGGTAGAACTATAAAGGAAAGCAAGAGATATTAGGATAATAGTTACCAATAAAGGTGAAAGAAAGTTATAATTTGGGGAGAGGCAAATGGTGGCTTCTGGGTGCTGCAAAGTTCTAATTCTTAATCTATGTGGTTATTACTACCTAAGTTATAATTACCTATCAGTCTTTACATATATGCTTTATACACTTTTCTGTATATATGTATATGTCACATATATATATGCTTTTAAAGAAACATTTAAATATACAAAAGAAGACAAAATGTCCATGATCCAGCTTCAACAATTAGCAATTCATGGCCAATCCTTTTTTCTCTAAACCTATAATCACTCCCCTGCCCTGTTCTATTTTTTACACAATCACAAGCTCATATAAATTCATCTGTATAGATGTTATAGTTCATAATTTTTAGATTTCCCCCAAATAGGCATACTAACACTACAGTATATTAGAAATTGACAAATAAATTCAAGGACATACTATTAAACCTAAAAGTAAGGTTGGGTTTTTGGGGGTTTTTCTTTTTTTTTTTTTATTTTTTGGAGACAGAGTCTCACTGTGTTGCCCAGGCTAGAGTGAGTGCTGTGGCGTCAGCCTAGCTCACAGCAACCTCAAACTCCTGGACTCAAGCGATCCTCCTGCCTCAGCCTCCCGAGTGGCTGGGACTACAGGCATGCGCCACCATGCCCAGCTAATTTTTTCTATATGTTTTAGTTGGCCAATTAATTTCTTTCCTATTATAGTGGAGACGGGCTCGCTCTTGCCAGGCT